GGATCTCATCAAGTCGGGTCAAGCGGATCCGACACAATGCCTCAGCTCCAGGTCTATTCTTGTCTCGTCCCAGATAGGAAAGGCGTCTCGGAGGTGCATGCGGAAACAACTACTCCCCTTCCTGGCCCAGGAAGCAGGCGAAACCCAGTTCGGGGGCCTCCCAGGCCGTGGCACAGCCCACGCATCCCTTATACTCCGTACCGCGCAGGCTTTAGCACGACGGCGCAACACGAGTTTTGGAGCCTTGTTTCTGGACGTGGTGCAAGCGTTCTATCGAGCCATACGACAGCTCGTCATGCGTGCGTGCCATGAGACCGAGCTCGACGACGATGCAATTGCGACGTTGGTGCGAGCCGCCGGACTACCACCCTCAGTGATGCCTCAGCTTGCCCAGAGACTCAGTGAGCAGCCCGCGGCTCTCAACAACTCTGACGTTGACCGACATGTGGTGGCCCAAGTTGGCCACTGCTACCAGGCCCCCTGGTTTGTCTGCGAAGGGTCCGACCAGGTATCGTTCCCACAGAGATCCTTCTTTCCTGGGCAGCCCCTAGCCGACGTTCTATTTGAGCTACAAATGGCCGACTGTATGAAGGACGTCCGCACCCAGCTTACAGAGCAAGGTTATGCCCATCTTCTCCCGCCGCGTACAGGCAGGTCGCTGGCAGCATTACTGCCCGCCGACCCGACTGAACTACCACAAGCCATTCTACCACTTTTAGATATTTCGTATGCAGACGATGGGATCATCATCCTAATCATGCCTGCGAGCCAGCTGTATGACGGACTCAGCCGAGTTCTTGGATGTGTTTCCGAGGCGTTTGCCATCCGAGGACATGAACTCAACCTGGGACCATCCAAAACGGCTGCTTTGATTTCGTGGCGCGGACCCGGATCAAAAAAGGCTAGGCATGCTGCGTGGCACGAATGCGGAGGACTCATTGTGAGCGACACGGGCCTCTTGGGACGGATCCAGGCACCCATCGTACACAACTATATCCATCTGGGGTCGGTGTTCGATGCGGGAGGTGTCGTGACTCCAGAGATTCGTTACCGGTCGTCGTCGTCAGTCGCCTCTCTGCAAGTGCTACGACGACGGGTGTTCGCCACAGACGAGCTGGATGTGAGAGAGCGCCTTATCCTTGCAGACAGTCTCCTCATGTCCAGTCGTCTGTGCAATGCAGGGGCTTGGCCAGCCCTCACTCGTGCCGAAGCACACCTCATACGCGTTGAGGTCATGAAGGTGCATCGTGCAGCAGCCCGTGTCAGTTATAGAGAGGACAGTTCACAGGTATCAGACCAGTTGGTCCTGGCACGTTTGCGACGACCATCCCCAGACATGATCCTACGGGCCGCCAGACTTCGGCTACTTGGGTCCCTGGTCCATACAGGTCCCACGGTCGTTTTCGGGCTCGTTGCGGCCGGGTGGCACGCAGCCATCGTTACGAACACACAAAATCGGACTATCCTGGGACTTTGGTACGTTGATCTCGGTTGGCTACAACAGGCGCTCCCCACACTCGGCGATTTACCTCTGCCAGCCGATGACTTTGCACCATGGGAGTCGCGTGTTCGTCGCAGCCAGCCAGCATGGAAGCGCATAATCCAGGCTGGCTTACATGCACACGCACAGCATGCAGCACGTGTGACGTTGGCGCAGCATGTTAAACATCAGTTCTTTGCCGTGGTGAAGCCAGTCGGAGTGCCCGACCGTATCTACACTAACGAGCGCGGGCTCATCGTGGATCCCCCACCCCAGGCAGCACGTCCCACGCATATATGTCCGTGGTGCGGCACACAATACTCACGACATCGAGCCCTTCGGACACACATCGCGCGAGCACATCGACAGGTGTCAACACTCGCAAAGGGATATGCATGCCCTAGCGGAACATGCACTACGTGCCTAATTAAGTTCTACGCTAGGGCGCACCTAGTAGACCATCTATCAGTGGGATCACCACGGTGTCTACTTGTGTGTTTGCTACAGACCGACAGCCCAGCCCACCACCTGCAGCCGCAACTCATCACCCAGCCACCGGGCACTACCGCCCAAGTGCGTATACCCCGACGGCACGTGGTTGTGCCCACTACCAAGGCGGCCGGCCCACTAACCGAGGAGGCCACGAACCATCTCCACCTCTCACAGCAGGAAGCACGCATGGCCATACTGGAGGCTGACCCCTATCTCACCGATGAAGCCCGAGCAGCCTTCATACCACCGCCAGAGCCTATGCTAGGATTGGATGATGTTGATGCCGAGCCCTACCCACCTGTCCAGACAGAACGCTACCCAGCCCGCATGTTCCTACCCGACCAGTACACAGGCCTAGCAGCGCAGGCACTACCTGTGGCCATCAAGAGGGCCGAGTATTACGTCCTCAACTTGTTTTGTGGACGTCGGAGGCCAGAGGACATTCAGGCATGTTTAGAGTGGACACACTACGACGTTGATTTCACAGTCTCGGTCCTGTCCATAGACATTGCTATTGACCCAGTCCTT